ACTATGAGTGCGACGTTGCCGATGTCTACCTGACTACCACACTGTCGTTTCTACAGAGTATTCACTCACGTAGACATGTGCGTTCGAGTGTATACACCATCAACGTCGCAGTGTCGCATGCTCACCCGCCTGGCGGGGAAATGTAGTACAGATACCATCTATATTATAACTTAATACGGAGTAGGCCTATGCTTAATCTAATACTCCCCTGGATACTGGCGCGCTGTGTGGTGGAAAAACGGGCCGTGCCCACCATTCAAAATGGTGGGATACTGAGACCGGCGCCACCGGCGGGTTGTATGGACCTCTCTCTTTTACACAAACATACCTTTGCTACACTTATTTTTAACATAAAAGATTTCAAATTTATATATTTTTAGACAGTGCTTATTACTGTGTAGTTATTTTGAACCATAACATATTTTTTTATAGTTTATTTAGGCAAATTAAGATTGATGGTCAATTTTTAACAGCACTAAAAACGTCAAAAATGTACCTAGTAAGCGAGGAACTTTTTTATTTTCTGAAACAATCATTGTTAAAGGAATACAATGCGCGTCGACATTATGAAACAAAACAATTAAAAATATCTAAAAAAGGTCTATATATATATATATATATATATATATATACATATATACAAATTTGAACGAATGGTGTTTTTGGCCTCTGGGGACATCACAATGAAAAAGTAAATCTGTCCCGGGCCTAAGTCTTACCATGCCACCTACAGTAATAGCCCTATAGGGAAATTCACTAAAAACAAAAAGATGCTATTGATTTATTTACCAATTATAATAGACTAGTGGCCTGTAGGGGCCATAGCCCCTAATTTAGACTACAATAAAAAAAACCATATATAAAAAGACAAATATTCGAAATATGTTTTTGGTTTCCTTCCGTTGGAGTCGTATATTAGTTGCTTCTGATGTGTCGATGAAATGCAATTGTAAAATAATGATTAAAATCAATAACACAACATATTAACAAAATGGAAACGTGCACACGGTTTGGCCTGAGCCCGGAGAACGACGAATCAGAGCTGAAATCATACAGCCAAACATTGCACATCTTTTTTAGTTTAAAATTGAAGATTTGTTTTGTAATCTTACAAATTCTGTTATAGTTTCCATTTTGAGAACCAAATGTAGAGGTTAAAATTATTATTAATTATTATGAAGGCAACCCATTTCGTGGTAGTAAGTCAGAAATATATCTATGAATTTGTCCCTGAATTTTAAGACAGTAATGCCCATTTCCCGGAATCTCTTTTTGTGTAGCGCAAAGCGACGCAAAAGACATTGTATGTTGTATTGCCTTTTGTTTTGTATGAATTTCGAATCATGTAAAAACAGTTATTTTAGTTCGTCATTTACTTGTGGTTGTGGCATGTCCATTGTGGCAACATGCGTTGAAATGTCCATTTGTGGCCTCCTCTGCGAAGTGAAATGTGCCACAATGCATGCAAGTGCTTTAAGAGGACGTATATTGTGAGAAACAAAACTCAACTCATTTTCCAGCGTTCTTCTTAAGACAGGTTGTAAAACAGCTTCTGGATTTCTTTTAAAGTTAGGCCCTACATGACGTTCTCTTTGGCATTTCTTAAGTTTGTTGAATTCCTGGACACTCTTCCACGTCTTGCAAGTCTTCCCCTACCCTGTCTAGTTACTTCACTCATTAGTCATTATAAAAACGGAAAACAAAAAAATTAAACACAATTCATTTTGAAACATTATTTACCAACATTGACTTTCGGAATAAATGTAAACATCTATATATATAATTCTGTAAGACCAAATTTTTACCAGAAAATTACCAACATTGACCATTGACTTTCGGAATAAATGTAAACATTGCAAATAAATAAGTAACAGCTGATAGAATGCAGACGTTTTTCAGCCCCCATGCATTTCTTATGGTGGATATTTTATGTTTTAATTCTGAAATATTTTATTTTGTTAATCGCGTTTTCTGGCAACTTTATGGGAATTCTGCTATTTTTCCCGAGTCCCTGGGGTCAAGACCTTTAATTTAAGACCCCTCCCACTTTTCTGCGACTTACCAGACATCCACGATTTTCTGGTAAATATTTGGTCTTAAAGAATTATATATACAGGGTGTTTTTTTAAAAACTTGCATCTTTATTTATGTAAAAACCGCAATAGATAGAAATATGCAGTTTGCGGGAATCATCTATTGACGTAGGGGGACCAATTGTTTTGAATTCAACGTTACATTCACATTCCCCCCCTTTCCCCCCCTGCCCCCAACTTAATTTTTTTAAACAGCAAGGTACCCCTTGTGACATATCAAATAAAAGAGCATGAAAAAAGAAAATTTTTGATGAAAAAAAATTGAAAATCGGTTCATAAATTTGTGAGATATTTCCCCCCTCACCCCCCCGGAACTTATTTTTTTTTAATAGCAAAGTACCCCTTGTGACATATCAAATGAAAGAGCATGAAAAAAGAAAAATTTTGGCGAAATTTATTTTTCATTTGATATGTCACAAGGGCGGGTACCTTGCTATTAAAAAACAAGTTATGGGTAGGGGAAAAGGGGGGTGATTATCTCACAAATTCATGGGCCGATTTTAAATTTTTTTTCACCAAAAATTTTCTTTTTTTATGCTCTTTCATTTGATATGTCACAAGGGGTACTTTGCTATTAAAAAAAATTAAGTTCCGGGGGGGTGAGGGGGGGAATATCTCACAAATTAATGAACCGATTTTCAATTTTTTTTCATCAAACATTTTCTTTTTTTATGCTCTTTTATTTGATATGTCACAAGGGGTACCTCGCTATTTAAAAAAAATAAGTTGGTGGCAGGGGGGGAAAGGGGGGGAATGTGAATGTAACGTTGAATTCAAAACAATTGGTCCCCCTACGTCAATAGATGATTCCCGCAAACTGCATATTTCTATCTATTGCGGTTTTTACATAAATAAAGATGCAAGTTTTTAAAAAAACACCCTGTATAGATTTATATATATTCTACAAATATATTATTATTTTATTAATAAAAATATGTGATGTGTTTCAAAATACATATCTCAAATATATTTATAAATACATAAAATATATAATATATTTTCAAAAATATTATATATATATATATTTAAAATGTTTTCAACACATAAAATTTTTAAATATTTAATAGGAAAAATATACATATAAAATATGTATAATATAGATACTATACTTGTAAAACATACATACTATTCCCTTATAAAACCCATAGAAAATGCCAGTGGGGTATATAAACACAAACAGAATTAAAAATATCTCCTTAATTTATTTTGCAAAGCCTGTTTTAAGATCATACCTACCCCCAAGCCCCAACCTGAATCTATTTCCACTAGTTCAAATCACTTATAGATAAAATAGTAAAAATAGAAAGAAGAATCATCAGAACATGTATAAACAAAAAATATCAAAAAGATGGAGTTTGGAGACTGGCCTCTAATAAAACTGTATATAAGGAAATAGAGCCATTGACAAGTATAATTAAAAAGAAAAGAATTTCATTCATTGGACATCTTTTAAGGACACCGGAAAATAGAATAAGCAAGAAAATAATTGACAAGTTGTGGAATAGCAAGAGTGACTAGGTGGATTACAGAGATTAAGTAGGACGTGAGAAGGTTGAAAATATCATTAGAAGATTTGGAAAATAAGTCAGAGGCGCTTGCAGTACTCAAAGACAAAAATATCATCCTGCCAATAGGATCAAACAATCAGAGACAAGGAAGAGTGGTTTTGGAAGAAGAAAGAAAACAACGGTCGGAAAGAATGAAGAAGTATTGGGGGGACAAGAAGAAGAGACAGAATTTAAAAAGAATCTAACCATTATATTGACTTAAGTGGTCCAATGCTGGCCATAAAATAATAATAATAGTAATAATAATAGATACTATACTTATTTTATCAATATATATTCTGAATCTATTTTATATATTTAAAACTTATGTTTAATTGGTATTTTGCATTGCTATTTGGTAATATTTTTAATATATATTTGAATATATCAAACTATTATTAAAGATATATTATTTATATATTTTATTCGAGGTTCCATCAAATACAACTTCGAATACCGGTATATAAAATCTATCTATATATTAATAGGCAAGCATGTTTCTTTAAAACCTTTTTCCTCAGCTCGTGTGCATCGTAGGGAAAATCTACGCATAGGTACTGTTAGAAATATATTTTCCTGTAGAAGTGCAGAATCCATTTAAATATTAAAATAGGCTCAACTATAAGCACAAAAAATGGATTTGAAAATTTACAAAATTAACATGGGCTTTATGGGTTGCCATGTTGGCGACGAAATAACAATGAAATATAAACAGAAAATCAAAACAAATGGAAGAAATTACAATCAGATGTTTTATTTACAGCGTGGGGTGAAAATAGAGAAGCCTGTACCTGACTATCAGTACTACAACAGTCAATGCCTGTACCTTTACATTCCATCCCCATGTTAAAGTTGTCACCAGTTTTTAAAAATTACATTCGTTGTAGTTGATGTGAGCCACCAACAGATTGCGCTGATCTAAATGACTAATTTATGTCGAATACACAATGTTTTTTACCAAGTCAAACTTATGGAATGACTTATTATGAGCTATAGCAACTGTTATGACCCATCAACTTTGTCAGCAACAAAAAATAAGGTAGAACATAGAATTTAAGACACACATTCGGTGACTGGCTCACAAAACTATGTGTTTAAAAAAAAATTGCGACAGCTGGTCCATATAGATGGGATGTCTACTTCAGTATCCAATAGTCAATAGAAGAACATTACATGTTTTTGGTCGAATTTTCGACCACTGGATGACCACTAGTATTTATAAAATACATATTTGTGATACTAAGGTGGCCATTGGTAGTGTCATTTATAATGTTGATAATGATATAACAAACAAACTAGGAACTCAAAACACATGCATTTCTTACAACATGACTATGACATACTACTAAAATACCTACCATACGGTATAAAAACAGCTTTATTTTAACATAAAATCAGATTGTATCAACAATTTGTCAATGGAGTACACAGTCCTTATATCTCCAACACTATCCTTCTTGCCTGCTTTTGAGGTCTTTATATAGTGGTCAAGGCAGTATACTCCTGACGAGTTCCCCTTATAGTGCATGATTGTCTGGAATATAAACAATTATTACAATTTTAACTTATTTTTATCATATTTTTACCATTTGTATTGTTGACCTATTTTATACCAGTACAACTATAATAAGTACAGTACCTTCAGTTCAAGAAAATAGTAAAATCTTTAAACCATGATATGGTACAACATTAGCGTAAAGTTTTGAATCCTTAATGGTTATGAATAACAAGACTAGGACTATTCCCTTATAAAACCCATAGAAAATGCCAGTGGGGTAGATAAACACAAACAGAATTAAAAATACCTCCTTAATTTATTTTGCAAAGCCTGTTTTAAGATCATACCTACCCCCAAGCCCCAACCTGAATCTATTTCCACTAGTTCAAATCACTTACCTATCAAGAATATATTAATAACTATAAGCCCATTAATATCTATCTACATCAGGTCACTTAAAAATTCTTAATTTTTTACTTACTGATAAACTCTTCAAAGATACAACTCGAAGGAGATTAGGATCTGTTCCCCCAACAATAATAGTATCAGATGTTACCCATTGCCCACAATACAACTGAAAAAAAAACAAGATGCAAAATTAAAGATTTAAAAATATTTATAAAAATTAATTTGGTTATAGTTTAAAGTAGTTATTACTTTTGACGTATGCCACTATCAGTCGTGTTTCATTTTGTAACGTTTTTGGTAAAGAAGGTTTAAGGTTTATAAGGATTTTGTAATGGATAGATGCAACAGCAGTCTAACCTTACTGTCAAAAACAGAGCCGGCCTTAGGTGTGCACACATAGGGCTTTGCGGTAGGTGCAAAGTAGCCTACATAAAAAGTCAGTAAATTATACGTCAATTACCAAAAAAGAAAATTTCGGTGTATAAATATTAACATTATTTATACATTGAGTTTTGTGTTAGTGTTGGGATTCTACTTTTTGGATTGAGGAGAGGATTGAGGAGAGGCCTCTGCTCAGAAATGTTTTTTACTGGGCCCCAAACCACCCAATGTCTCTGGACAAAAATATATGAAAATGCACAAATAAACCCACCAACACTGAATTTTTAGAGCTACTGGCACACAGAACCTTCCCACCAGTGGATAACACCCCCCTAACCCAAGCCTCAGAAAATAAAACTACCTTAACACAGCATGTTTTTTGTTTTTGTTTTTGTAAATCAAGAATAATTCTTATAGTATAATTCAGTTGTGGAATTAGTGATAGTGGCCAAAAACCACTAGGCATTGTCACCATGTTCAATTTGATTTAATTTGACAAGGACAGTAAATTACCATTAAAAAAAGGAGATTTTTGAGCGTAAAATAGTACTACAAATTAAATATTTTGACACTTTATTTAACCAAACAATTTTGGAAAAATCAATTGTCAACATTTAAACACTGTTACAATTTAGTTAGTACCCTAAAATCTAAAGTAGAATATGTGCGAAGTTGATGTAAAGAATTTTAAATTAAAAACTAAGGAATCAGTGCCAAACCCCTGGATATATTACTACTTAACATCATTCCAATACCAGCATAGTTATATGCCTGTTAACATGGCCATCTATATAATTAATACGCTACATGAAACTTTGTCGGTTGAACTCCTCCGCCATTTCTTAACCGATTTTATCCATTGACGTCTTATTGGAAAGAGCGTGTCACGTAGATTTGCAAACTGGCCTTACATTTTTGAAAAAGTCTCTTGGGCTCTGCCCCAGTGGCATTGAAAGTTACCATGTTATCCTTATGAAGAACATAATTGTTTACATTTTGATCAGCTGTATAATTTAATTGCTGTTATTTGAACCAATTTTATACATTGACGTCTCATTGGAAAGAGTGTGTCGCGTGGATTTGCAAACTGGCCTTACGTTTTTGAAAAATTTCCTTGGGCTCTGCCCCAGTGGCTTTTAAAGTTCCCATGTTATCCTTTTGAAGAACATAATTGTTTACATTTTGATCAGCTGTATAACTTAATTGATGTTATTTATTTTCGAAATCAATGAAATGATGAAACGCATTGGGTACATTTACTGTTAGTTGAAATTAAATATTTACTATTATTGAATTTGGGCATTGACTATTGGATACTGAAGTATTAATAGTCAAAGATTTGGGTTTGCGTACTTATTAAATGTAAACAATCCAGAAATCCTGGACAATTTTATATATTACACCAAATAAGAATAAACGGTATCAGCATTCTGACACATACTTTCTCCCATAAGTTTGTCAACAACCTTTATCATGTGTAAGCAGTGAAAGTAAATATACGGAAATGGGATTTGTACAATTTTGTTCAGAATTTAAAGGACTATAACATACTAAATTTTTATCAAAATCGTTCAAACCATTTTTGGAAAAATCCGATTTTTCCATTATTTTATGGGGTTTTTTATGGGAAAATAACATCATTTAAAATAACTTTTAAACCGTTATTTTTACAGAAATGGGATTTGCACCATTTTGTTCAGCATATAAAGGACCATAACATACTAAATTTTTATCAAAATCGTTCGGGCCGTTTTTGGGAAAATCTGATTTTTCCGTTATTTTATGGGGATTTATGGGAAAATACCCATTAAAAATCAAAATTTCTAAAAAATTAAAAAAACTATCAAATTGTAAGGACCATAACATATTATGTTGAATAAAAACCGGATTTTTTTCTAAAATCCTATTTTTCGTTATTTTATGGGTTTTTTTTATGGAAAAATAACATAATTTGCCATAACTTTTGAACCGTAATTTTTAGAGAAATGGGATTTTCACCAGTTTGTTTAAGATTTAAAGGGCTACAACATACTAAATTTTTATCAAAATCGTTCGGGCCATTTTTTAGAAAATTAGATTTTTCCGGTTTTTTATAGGTTTTTATGGGAAAATCCCCATTAAAAATCAAAATTTCAAAAAAATGAAAAAAACGCCTGGAGATACCATGGATTAGAACCTACATACCAAATTTCATCGAAATCGGACCACAGGTGTAGTCCTAGCTCTGTACACATCCAGACACACAGACACACACACACACACAGACATCACTTCGAAAACTACTTTTTTGGGTCCAGGGGGACCCAAAACGAATATATCCACTCAAAACTCAAACTCGAAAATTTTGACGAAAACAATACTTTCTCCATATACTATGGTATAGGGGGAGAAAGTAAAAATGAATTGACATATAGTACTGTATTTCTTAAGCAATCATTGAAAGGACCGAGTTGTTAACTAGGGAAACATAGGAAAACCATTGAACGCCACCAAGTAAAAGAAATAGCGATTAAGTTCTTTAAAGAATTTACTATTCTTATTAGCCTATATATAATAAAGAACACCTACAATATGAAGATTCCTACAAACAATGAACGATGATGATAGCCAAAGTGCTACTATTTTTGTAGGAAACATGGACCTTACTTTGTGATAATTGCAGAGGAAAGCCCTCTAAAACTAAATAAAACTGGTACGGCAAGGAAATTAATTTGTTTAACAGTCAAGTAATTTTAGAAGAATATGACAACATCCAAGAAACCTGTATTAAAACTTTTTTGTAGGATTTAACAATTATCTTTGACTATTAATACTTCTGTATCCAATATTAATGCTATTATTCACTTTTAAGAGAAACAAAATCCATCTGAACAAAATTAAGGCCTTTTTTCAACTCCGCATTTTTTCTTGGTAAATAGAATTTACGTTATAACAATAACTAACCAAAGTAATGCCAATTGAAGCAAATAAAAATTGTGACAGAGATGTTATGCAGGAAATCAGGTAGTTCTGTAAAAAATTTAATTTCTATTAAAAAATGACTGAAATTTGTTAACATACTGGTGACGATGGGTGGTACCATGAAGACAGACTACATTATCATTGACGAAGATCAACATGGACAACCTAATGCGGCTATATGTGGGAAACATTTGTAGAACACACTAAAAACCACATCAGCTTTGGAAAATGATTAACTATTTACAAGAAATTTTGATTATATGGAACTGTTATGTACATTGTGAGTAGTTCCATTAGTTAAATAATGTTTGAGTTGACTCTTTTAAACTCATCGTGAATTATGACGGTTTCGTTTTTAAATACGTTATCTGTTGTTAAATAGCTCCTGTACTTCTTTGCAATTGCTCGATTTCGAGCAACATGTACACTAGTTCAACTTAAAAGCCTGAAAACACAATATTGTCCAAGTCCAAAAGTATGTGTCATTGGTCAATTTTATTCATCATAATGTTGCAGCTAATTCCACCTGACGATCAAAATAGTCTTTGCTTTCAAACATATAGTATGCTTTAAAACCAGACTTGTTTAAAACTTGATGAGCTGATTCACGAGATGCTACAGATCTAACTGATGTCCTTGGATTTTCAATAGTAGTCTGCAGAATGTCTAATGAGCCATCTTCATCTGAAGGCACAAAATATGGTTGTCCAGATCTTGCTCAATCATTAACACTACCAGTTTAGTTTCTAAAAATCAAATAACTGTGTATTGTACTGTACGTAGATTTTAAAATAGGATATCAAAGGATTCAATTATAAATACATCAATACGATAAAATCTAAGTGCTGTATACTGTTACAGGCATGTTATAACAGGCATACTGTTACAGTAAAATTGATTAACAAACTTGATGACTTAACTTGCTGTAAATAAAAAAAATTAATATTAGGTACCTGACATTTGAATAAATCAGGTTCAATATTGGCAAGCAGTCTGCCCTGTTGGTAGTGCCAAAGTTGAAGAGAATTGTCTTTTGAGTACGAACAGGTCAATAACTAAAATATTGGGATTCAAACTATTAGTTACAACAATGTTATAAGCAATCATTCATTATTATTATATATATTTTAAAATAACATAGTTTCTTCAGAAAGCTTATAGGAAAATAAATAAACAAACATAGCCAGACTAACAATTTAATAACTGACTAGCCTATGTGGGTCAATTTTCAGAAGGCTCATTATTTAAGCGGTTTAAAATATTCGGTGTTTCATTTTCAATGCCAGAGAGCTGTCTAGAAAGTAACAGAGATTTGATTTAGGACTAGCACAGCACATGCACTGTCATCTTGGTGTTTGAGTGGTAGAGTAGCTAGAGCAATGTGAATCTCGTACTTTGTCCACAGTCGAGAGTGCGGAAGTAAGTGTTGCACTTTTGAAATTATTTATGTTCATTTTTGGAAGTAACCTATAGCAATAAAATCAATGAAGAGAGCGAGGCTAGGCTTTGAAGTTACACTGATTTTTATTTGTCTGGATCACTGGATCGATATTCACTAGACGTAGCATTGCAAAGTGGTTGGGTCAGGTTCAGACTAATGTAATGTAATTGTTGATATTTTTGTGATATGAAGTTTACTGTTCAATGATTCATATAAGCTCATAAAACAGCAGGACAAAGTTCCAATGACCCGAATTCAAAGTCAACTATTTAAAATGTAATAGACTTAAAGGTATCAGTGCAAGACAATACGGTGTGGGATTGATTCCAATTAAAATGAGTAAATTATGAGTAAAATGAAAAAAACCATGATATCTTTCTGAGGATTATAAAAAAAGTTAGGAAAAAGATGTTTTAAATAAATTTTGGTACTTCTTTTGTAACTACCACAATATTTACTGATCATGCTGTATATAGAAAAAAATGTTCAATCTATTCCAATACCGGTAACTTGTGTTTACACTACTGTGTCTATTACACTTCACTTTTTTTTGTTAAAATGTTATAATTATTTGCTAAATTTTTATTGGGTTGGGTTGGTTAAGTTATGTTTGAACCTTAGAGATAACCTAAAACTTAATTAAGTATTTTTACACACAAATACTTTAATACTTTTCAATAAAATGTTTTAGTGGTCAATAAAATAAAATATTCAATAGATTAGTGGCGTCGTCCTGTAATCCAGCTGCTAGGAGGTCACGAATTGTGGATATTTATAGGCATGCACTGTGGATACGATACTCCCTGACCCTGGTCCTGGTGTGGATGAACGTCCGCACTAGTGAGTACTACAACTATCCGCAGTACTATCCTGATAATTAGACCAAGTCGTTAATACCAAGGCAAAAATGTGGTTCGGAATCCACTGTACCAACTGTAGGTCGCTTGGTTGCCATTAGCTATATGGGCTATTAATTAACAGCTGTGTCTAAGGAATATGTCGGTCATAGTCACTAACAAGACTACAATAAGATCGCGCCACTCATCTACACTCATCTCCATTCATACTTGGCTTAAAATACCTACTTTGTATGGTCGCCATTTTATTGAAAAGTATTAATAAAGTAGTGGTTGTTAAACAGAAAAGGTCCCAAACACGGTATATAATTTCAGTTTCCTTTGCAAGTTTGGTGATCACCTCTCGTCCACTTTTGCTGATGTCCAGTCCCTCGCCGCACATGTGGACGCCTCTGATGAAGCGTATGGAGTGGTGAGTGCGGAGGTCCCAGAAGTGCACCACACTGTCCCAACCTCCGGACACAAACTCTGACGTCTGTTGAGGATGGAACACAGCAGTGAACACCCGAGAGGTGTGACCATCTACAACATCCGACAGTGTGCTGCGGCAAAACATCATTGTTACAAACCAATGTTGCTAATGTTGGTGTGATTACTTACTGTTAAGGATTGAAACTGAGTTACCGCATCTTCCATACCTAGATTAGCAATGTATATAAAAAACCAAATAAAATTATATTGTTTATGGACTTTTGTTTTTAATTTTAAGTAAAGAACTTATAATTATTAATACCCCTGCCACAGCAAACCTGCAGACTAAGCGAATTTCAACTTGTCTGATTACATATTTACTAAAATATTTCCATAAATAAGACACATTTATTCCCATTTAAATAACATTAGATTTAATGAGTGCTTAGGTTTGCTGCTACGAGAAAGGTAAAAAGTGTTTTTTGACCATACGTCAATAGTATAGGATGAAATAAATAAATTTGCCAAATTTTATCAATATATATCCATAAACAAGTAGGCTACACTACAACAATTTTCATTTTCTCCATGAATAACACTGGAATTTTAAATTACACTATTTTTGAATTTTCTCTATGACTGTTAGGCATACAACAGCGCTTCAATATACTAAATTATTTATTTTTTTAAGCTCTACAAAACGGTCTAAAAACAAAACCCCATTTTTACCCCATAAAACCCCCCATAAACCCCCGTTCCCATGGTCCGATTTTGCTGGATCGCGAACTCGTTCGAATAAACGTAGGTTTACACGTTAGTACCTAATTTCATCAAAATCAGATCATTTTTGCTCGAGTTATCGCGCTAACGGACACACACACATATATATTATGAATTTGAAAAGATGGTGTTTTTGGCCTCTGGGGATTCCCTATATGGGAAATTCGCTAAAAACTGGTTTGCTATACAGGGTGAGTTTCTACTAAGTGCGTTAATTTTTACCAGCTATTCTACTCACTAAAAGGAACAAAAAATGACAAACAAAAATTTTCCATCCCCACTCGTTATGCTGTAATGGCCGATTATGTGAATTTTTAAAATTACCTGTAATAGCTTCACTAAAACTAGCATAGAAATTAAGCCAATACACGTACAGCATAATAATTTATACCAATGAAAAGAGCGTTAAATTTCCTACAAAACCATTGCAACACCTTTAACATACAACCATATTTTCACCGTCGTATGTCTCACATAACATAAAAAAAGAAGTTTCAAAATTTATTCTTTACAACATCAAAGTGGTTTTACAACTATACATACTAATGTGATGTTTTGTCAAATTACGTAAAAAACTTTCCCATTTCATGCCCTTTACATTGAACCAAATGTAATACAGTATCTGTTAATTTCTTTGCTATTTTATAATCAGCTGACATCTGATCAGCTGGGTGTTAAACTTTGTTTACAAAACTAACTGATTGCAATTGTTGGCTTGTAAACATTTAAATTATTAACTATTTCATAATTCTATGAAAAAAAATAAAAATAAATTTGATAAAAATCTAGGTTAATACATTTGTACAAATAAACAAAATGAATCCTGTAAAGTCTGGTTTCTAGATTTTTAATCAAATTAGGTTTTCAAAATGTCCACCATTTTTGCTCTAATACATGTGGTCATAAATATGGTCTTTCCGAAAGTTTTTCACTATTGCCTTTAATTTTAGCTCCTCTTGAAGAAGGTTGGAAGCTTAAGTCCGATTTCTTAGCTCATCCGCTGTTTGAACTAGTGTTAGGCAATTTTCCTGTTTGAGGTAACCTCAAGCGTAGTAGTCCATTGGAGTCTGGTGACTGTGGTGGCCAAGAAATTGATCCGCCTCTTCCAATCCACATTGGGAAAGTATTTCCAATGTAAATTCGCACCCCATTATTGAAGTGGGGAGGTGCACCATATGCTTGCTAAACTATTCGCTTACGTACATCCAACGGGACGTCTTCAATGAGCCTTGGTAGAATATCAGTAAGGACGTTGACATACTGACAGCAGTTTAATGAATATGGAAGATCAATGAAAGGGCCAACTAACTGGTTTTAGAGTAATCTATTCAACTTAAATCTTGTTTGGTTTCGACACTGGTGTATCACATGTGGGTTTTCTGTAGCCTAGTGATGTCCATTATGGATGTTGTAAATACAATCCCGAGTAAACTTGGATTCGTCTGTCCACAAAATTGACTTGAGGAAGTCACGATGATCAAGTCAACTAACAGAGCGACATAACTGAAGTCTCTGTAGACAATCTCTTGGTTCAATAATCTGTACTCGTGTAAAATGGTAGGGATGCAATTTTTCCTTTCTCAATAGCTGAGAAATACCTAAGTCACGAGAAACTGTCATTGTTCTTGTCCGTGGATCGTCCTCAAACCACCCCAACAATCTGAAATAGCTTCTTAAACACATACACAATACACATCTTGTATCACGTTCCCAACAGAAAGATGTTTAGTGTCCATGGAAACTTGTATGGACACTGATGAATATTCGTTCATTTGAAAGTCACCTATTAGGAAACTGACGATTGTATTCACGTCAGATTACAGCTGCATTTGAGAACAGAACCCGGAACATAGCACTAAACAATTATAATATTTTCCAAGTATGTTCATGAAATAGTTAATAATTTAAATGTTTACAAGCCAACAATTGAAATCAGCTGGTTTTGTAAACAAAGTTTAACACCCAGCTGATCAGATATCAGCTGATTATAAGATAGCAAAGAAATTAACAGATACTGTATTACATTTGGTTCAATGTTTTGATTCCGAAAACTCTGACCTTGACGAGGTTTTGACCTAATTTTTCGAACTTTAAATACAGCAATAACCTTATGGGTTACATCATTTTAAAGGGCATAAAATGGGAAAGTTTTTTACGTAATTTGACAAAACATCACATTAGTATGTATAGTTGTAAAACCACTTTGATGTTGTAAAGAATTAATTTTGAAACTTCTTTTTTTATGTTATGTGAGACATACAACGGTGAAAATATGGTTGTATGTTAAAGGTGTTGCAATGGTTTTGTAGGAAATTTAACGCTCTTTTTATTGGTATAAGTTATTATGCTGTACGTGTATTGGCTTAATTTCTATGCTCGTTTTAGTGAAGCTACTACGGGTAATTTTAAAAATTCAAATAATCGGCCATTACAGCATAACGGGTGGGGATGGAACATTTTTGTTTGTCATTTTTTGTTCCTTTTAGTGAGTAGAATAGCTGGTAAAAATTAACGAACTTAGTAGAAACTCACTCTGTATAGACGGCCAAGACATGTTCACTGTATTACTTGAGTTTAGCGACTGTACTGCAGAAAAATGTACCAATGCAATGCAATGATAATTTTAGGCTCTAAAGTGGTTTGAGATATCTTACATTTGTCACTTATTCAAAGTTTAGTTTCACATTGTCCTAGCAAACTCACCCTTTCTCATAGGTTTGTTCTCTCTGTCCTGTTTCTGCATTGTAGAGATAGATAGCAGCGTTGTCACCAACAGTAAGGAACTTATTGAGTTTTGGGTGGTAAGCACTTCCGAGAACTTGCCTGTTCTCTTTTAAATCGAGAAGAACTTTGCCATTCTCATAGTCCCAGATTAGTACTCTTCCATCAGTATCTATGATGTGAATACAAGATTAATGACGTTGGTGCACTTTAGAGATAGCCTATGTATTATTATTAACTTTTTTTTTAGAATGAATATTTATGGAAATATACATATTAAACTAACGTACCATACTTGTATGGATTAGAGGTCAGGATTATACCATGCCATGGGTTACTCAAAAACAAAAAAATATCTTATATACTAAAAAAAATTTTGCAAAACTTATGACAGCTAGCCTGACCATACTACTGGACCGAATTACAAGCGGTTGGTACCAAATGAAAGATATTTTCCTGTAGATGTGCAGAATCCCTTAATAAATTAAAATAGAAATAAGCACATCAAATTAATTTTAAATTAAAAAAAAATTAACATGGGCCTTATGGTTTACCATGTTGGTGACAAAATAACAACAAAATATAAACAGAAAATCAAAACAGATTTAAGACATTCCAATCAGATGCAATACTAAGACTGCTGTCAGAGTAGCAAACTAATGATTTTTATTTTTATTGATTTTCATTTTTATTTGAGCAGTGATAAGAGCCTAGCGCAAGTCGGAAACTCCCTCCAGGATAGGCCAAAGGGGGGCTAGGCATTTGGGGAGAGGGGGGGGAGGGTAAAACACCGGGGGTTCTGGGTGTTTACTCTTACTCAGGGTCTGCGGGGGAGTGTCCTTACTGGGTGGTTTACTCTTATCCTGAATTTAACCATTTCCGGCCTGGATCCTCACTTCTGGGAACAAAAAGGTAAGATTTAATGAAAAAAATTGCAGGCCCTGGGGAAGCTCCCACTAATATTTTCACTGCACCCAATGTGTTAAACATAATTTAAATCATCATCAGGAAAATAAAAATTCGCTTAGTCATTTGCCTTTGTATTGGCATTAAGGAGGAAGAAAATTTGTAAGGGGCACTCTGTTACACAATTGTGAATACAAACTGGCTGGCTACAGATTTAACATAACAATGGCATGTGTATTTTCTAATAGTAAATTCCCAGATAATAATGGCATATGGTATACCGTACTAAAAATTATATTTTTCTGGAAAACATCTTACGTTGCAAACATCAAGCACGTAAATATGTTTTCACATACTGTATACCTTTATCTACATATTATGTATCTTTAAAATTGTTACAAAAAATTAATGTTATGAAATGAGAGGTAGCCTACTAATATTTGTATACAAACATGTTGACAAGAGAGCTGATGCCTGGGAATTGTGAGCGTTGAGTCGGAACTGAACACTTGTCACAGGTAAATCTTCTGTTATGTCTGGCCTGACTAGTTTATTGATCAGGTTTCCATCATAGGCACTATAAACCCGTATGATGCCATCCATGTGCCCTGCTACAAAAAATTCTTTGTTCGGAGAATATTTGCAACACAAGACATCTTTTTCACAATCACTAAAACAGATAAATAAGTACATACTAATTAATTAAAAATAGTAATTACTTTAATGTAACCAGTTCATTCACCACTTCAATGAAAGATTTCAAACTGTGATTGTTACTAGTTATTCTTTAATTTAGCCATTTATTATTGGGCTATTGGTGATATCTAACAAAATATCAGGCGTTAGTAATAAGACAAGGGTTTGGACCATTCCCTTACATAAAACAAAACATGTAAATTTACACAAATTACCTTAAGACATTTTATCAATTTGTTTTAACTTAATTCTTAGTTAATAAAGTTCCTAAGGTAATTATGTAACAATTTCTGTTTATGGTTGATGGATTATTGTTGAAGAGTTCTTTTTACTTTAATAACTGGCTGGAGTATATTTATCAGTTCTATGGTCTCTTCATGATGGAATTGAAAACATTTTCATTTAGTCCATTAACTCAAATAAATTTTCATGGGGTTGAAAGGGCTGCAAGGCAAAATACAAAATAATTCTGTTCCGGTTACAAAAAAAGTTCAACAGACTCTGAGGAGGGTATATGTTGTGATGGAGCCTGCCAGCGGTGGTTCCATCGTGAATGTATCAAAATGACCAAAGCTGAGTATCAACGCATATGCGGTAATAACAAAGAAAAGTGGAACTGCTCAAGAACCGATTGTGTTGTCCCTTCTAATCAGCCATTCTCTCAATTGTCATTAAAAATGGAAACAGTTATCTCAAAATTAGATGATTTGCTAACCAAAATAAATAAAATCGATTTAATCTCTAACGATATTGTTGGCATCAAGTCTGAAGTTTTGGAGATCAATGCCAAGCTATCTGCACCGGAACCTCGTGTCATGCTGGTCGAAGCTAAAGATTTCCAAACTTGAATAGGAGTCTTAGAAGACCAACAACGCCACTGGAGCCTCGGATCCTGAACACATTATTGCTGAAATTAATGAACGTGCATTCCGGGCAAAGAATATCATGAGCTTCAACTTGACGGAGTCTCCCAGTCGTGAAATCGACATTAAAAAGAAACATGATCTCAGCCTTGTCACTACACTTCTCAAGATTTCTCTTCCTCATCTAAACTATGACTTTATAGCCTTAGTAGAAACAAATCTCACTTCAGACAACAAGGACAATGAACTAGGGCTTACTGGTTTCGAATGTTTATAGATGCGACCGTTCCACGAATACTAGTACTAAAATCTGTGGAGGTGGTACTCTTATTGCGATACGCAATGATATTCCGAGCAGTGCATTAACCCCAACTACATGCTCGACTGAATGCATTTTTGCCTCTATTAATCTTCCCGGATCTACACTTGTCTTTTGCTGCGTCTACATTCCTCCAAACCAGCCATCAAGTGCTTATTTAAATTTATCTAATTCATTTAATGAAGTGATGTCATCTGTTAGCACCTGGGATAAAAATATACTGTTGCTTGGTGACTTCAATCTTCCAGATACTGATTGGTCAAGTGATGACGACAACCCTACATCAATCTCTCCACGATATCTGAATGACCTTGCTTCAGCTTATGGACTTAGACAAATCAACTCAGTCCGTAATCTCCGTGGGGTGTGTCTTGATCTGGTTTTCTCTTCCCTTCAAGACTCTAATACAACTCGGGCTGAGGACACTCTTCTTGACAAGGACACGCATCATCCTGCACTTTCTGTTTCATTTACATTACATAATTCTTACTCTCACCAGCCTCCTAAGTTTGTATTGGACTTTCGCAATTGTGATCTGGATGGAATCTTTCTTTCAATACAAAACTTAACTTATCCTCTGAAATTTGATCAACTAAACCCAAATGACTCCTCCAACAACTTCTCTGGACTTCTAGGACATCTTGTAAAACAGTTCACTCCTCTAAAAAAGATCAAAAGTACGACCTTTCTTAAATGGTTTTCTGCTGAGCTGAGAAAACTTTCATTAAAAAGAACATTGCCCACAAATTGTACAAAGATTCCAACTGTTACTCTGATCTGATACGATTTAGAGCACTTGGAAGGAAATGCAAGGACCTCGCCAGAATATGTCAGGATAACTACTTGAGAAAAGTTGAAAAGAGCATGCCAACAAATATTAAATCCTTCTGGTCACATATCAATAATCTCAAATCTAGCCCTGCTATTCCTCCAACCTTATCTTTTGAAAATACTGTAGCTGTGGACCCTTTGGATAAATGTGAAGCCTTCACCAATTACTTTTCGTCTGTCTTTAGCAATGATGTGCTGCCTATTCCTACTACGACTATGGATGGAGCATTAGGATTTCTAAGTACACCGTAACTGTGAATGATGTTTTTCAGAAACTAATGACCCTCAACCCCAACAAAAGTGCTGGCCCTGACAATATACCTTCCTCGACTCTCTTAAAGAAGGCTTTGTTGTCCCCATTTTGAAGTCCGGAGACAGATCGAATGTTATAAACTATAGACCTATTGTTATTCAGTCTAAAGGTTTTTGAGAGCTTACTTCTGGACTTCCTCTACTTCCACTTGAAGCATAGTCGATGAGCAGCTTGGTTTTCTTCATGGATGATCTACAGTCTCCAACCTTCTTGTATTCCAAGAGTTCACTATGGCCGCCCTTACCTAATCGAACCAAGTTGATTGTGTCTACTTGGACTTTTAAAAAGCATTTGACAAAGTCAACCATTGTCTTTATTTGCCAAGCTCTCTGGTTATGGAGATGGTGGAGGTCCTGCTGAGACTACTAGTAAGTTACCTTACTGGAAGACAGCTAATGGTTAAATGTGATGGTGCCATATCTCAGCCTTTTCCTGTGCCATCTGGAGTTCCACAAGGTTCACATTTGGCTCCTATTCTCTTTAATCTGTTTATAAACAATATTGGCAAGATTATACACTGTAATTTCCTTATGTTTGCTGACGACTTAAAAAGCTTTTTGAAGATGGTTCATTCTGTGTTAGATCAAGATAATCTTCAGAGATCCCTAAATAGCATCAGTGACTGGTGCATGAATAATGGAATGAATCTAACACTGCAAAATGCCAAGTTATGTCTCTCAAGCGTGGGACTAGAATCCTCAGCTATGACTACTGTTTAAATCGTGTTATTCTACCCAAAGTGGACAGGCTTAAGGATTTGGGCATCATATTATGACTCAAAATCTCAGTCCGTTTCAACACCTTGCTCATATAACGGCCAGGGCTAACTCGCTCTCAGGATTCATACACAGATCTACCAAGAACTTCAAGTCACCAATCACACAAGTGATCCTGTAAGTCATTGGTCTGCCCCATCTTGGAATAAGGGTCTGTTATATGGTCTCCATATCAAGTTGGTCACATCCAGATGCTTGCAAGAACTCAGGATCGCTTCATTAGGATGCTTGGACCCAGACTCGGCTTCAGATACTGGGGACATACCTGTTCAAGAGCTTAAGGTGCAGCTTCATATCCAACCACTGCATATAAGACGTATGACCTTTGATGCTATTTTCCTTTTCAAACTGATCAATGCACATATAGACTGCCCTGAACTTCTCCGCAATATTTATCTTGTTGTGCCCAGAGGAACACGTTCCAGAACTCCTTTCCAGCGACATTATCAACCAACACTTTTTGCATACTACAATGGCCTGTGCAGATTGCAGCGGACGGGAAGTCAGATTGGTGCGCGGGTCGACTTTTCTGTTATTTTTGTAGTTTTACTTTTACTTTTATTAAATTTATTATAGCTTTTAACATTTAAATAAGGACATAGATGAACTTGTAACAAACTTTATTTCTATACAAACCATTCTTAATTATTGATCTTATTTTCATAACACAAAACCAAAAACATATGATATTAAACTATTAACATTATTAACTATTTGACAGTTTCTAGGAGGCAGAACATTTTGCCATTACACAATAAAGTACTATAAGTAATTTCAACATACCCCCTTAATGGTAAAATGTTCTCTTTATCGTTAAACATTCAACATGTCTCTGAATTTGTTGAAGTTTGGATATGTGAGAGGTTTTGTGAACAAATCTGCTATCTGATCATCAGTCGGGCAGTATTTAATTTCAAATACTTGATTCTGATATTTTTCACTCAGATAATGAAATTTCACCTCAATATGTCTTCTTCCTGTTAAACTTAACTGACCAGATTTAATTAGTTTCATAGAACTTTGGTTGCCCACATACAAAGTCACTTTTACTTGTTTTCCCGTTATCTCTTCAATCAAACTTCTCAGAAATATGAATTCCGTACAGCAATCTGCAGCGGCAATGTACTCAGCCTCTGTTGTAGATTTTGCAACAGTGTTCTGTTTTTGTGATCGCCATGATATTGGTCCTCCAGCATAAATTATAAATAACCAGTGGTACTTTTTCTTTGATTCTTATCACCAGCATAATCAGCATCGCTGTATGCAATAAGTTCAAGTACTTCTTTTTCTCGTTCTTGTGACTTAGAGAACTTTATTCTTCTGTCTTGGGTACCTTTAAGATATCTTAGAGTTCTTTTAACATTTTGTACATCTTCTTTCTTAGGTCTCTCTATGAATCTACTTTCGTAACTAACTGCATATGACAAATCAGGTCTAGTTTTACTTGTGAGATATAGTAAGCTTCCAATCATTTCTCTGTAGTTAGAATTATCGTCATCAGATTTTAAAATTTATTCTTCCTGATTTTGTGGTGATATTGGGGTTTTAACTGACTTGCAATCTGCCTAGTTATATTTTTCATTTCTTGTGATGCCAAACTCCATGTTTAACATGGTTATCAAATGCTCTATTCGTTATTTGTCCTTTCCAAAAACGATACCATCATCTACATGAATTGCGATTATGATTTTTCCTTGGTTGCCTTTAAAAATACATTGATCAGATTTTAGTTGATCAAGGCCATGTTGTTTCAGAAAGGTTGTAAGTTTTTTATTCCATCGGCATGGTGCTTGTTTTAGACCATAAAGGGCCTTTTTCAGTTTACAGACCTTCCCTTTTTCAGTGTAACCTTCTGGTAGTTTCATGTACATT